AGTCTCCTGAAGAACCTGAAAAACATTAAACCACAACTGTAAGCCCGAAAGCTTAGTGAGATACCCCCAAAATACCAACCACGTATACCATACACATATCACTCTATCTCATAACGAATCACAGAACAGCCATGCATATCGGGTCTGCTATGGGACTGGTCGGCCTTGCAGGGCCTTCAGTCCACCTGGTCCACCCTCCGGGTCCAATCATGTCCCTCGAGTCTGCAGTATGGTTGGTCCGCCCGCACTGGGCCTTCAACTCACCTGGTCCACTCTCTGAGTCTACAGTATGACTGGTTCACCCACATCGGGCCTTCAGTTGGCCTGGTCCACTCTCCGAGCCTCGGCACGTCTGGTCCGCCATCGTGGGGCCTACAGCATATCCGGACCGCTCGCTGGGCCTTCGGAATAACCGGTCCGCCCTGGGTATCTCGGCCTACAGCACAAAGCAGGACCCGCCTCAACCCAACTCCAGTCCAAACAACTATGTGCACATAAACATACAATCACATAACAATTCATATTCAGGCAAACCGATCTAGCAGATCACATAACACAACATACTCTAACAGGATACCGACCTAACCGGTCACTAGCATAGCATCATCCTATCTACCAGTATATTGACCTTAACCAGGTCTCTAACGAGTACCATCCTAACTACCAGGATGCAAACATATCAAAACAATAGCATAACAATAGATACCCGGATCTCAATCCGATAAAAGGGTCGGCCTTGGTGCCTTAGACCCTGTTGATATAGTGAGGATAACTCACCTCGAAACTGCCGGCTAAAAGGATAAGATCCCACTGCTCCGAACTCTGACACGAACTCCTCCACTGAACACCAAAACACTCAACTCAATATATACCCTTATTTACCAAAATACCCCTAGAAGACAATTGGTCAATCCTTGGACAAGGTCAAAGTCAACCCCTGACTGACTCTACTTGCCGAGTCAACCCGATGACTCGCTGAGTCCCCAAGCTCAGAACTTCCCTCAATCCACGACCTGACTCGCCGAGTCACCCCGAGACTTGCCGAGTCCAACCACTCTGAGTCCACTCGCACCCAACTCACCGAGTCATCCCTTGACTCACCGATTCTCGACTCAACCAGAAAATATTGGGACTCTTCGACAAGACTCGCCGAGTCTAAGGCTATCTTCAACCTACTCGCTGAGTTGTTCATCCAACTCGTCGAGTTCCAGCTCATCTTCAAGCAACTCGTCGAGTCCACCCTTGTGACTCGCCGAGTTCCACCGATCTGCATCCATACAGAAGCATTCCAGGCCATGCAATTGACCCAAAACATAGATCTAGCCTCCTACAACCCATCCATCACGTAAAGTGGCAAACTTTACGTAAGTCCATGAAGATCTAGGCATTATACACATTAGGGCTAAGGTTTGGGACAAGATAGCTTCACTACATACTCAATCACAGGGACTTTCAGGCATTCCAACCCTTCTCTATTCCAGATCTGAGGTAGCAACCTCAGATCTAACCTCTAGACTCCAAAACACCAATAGATGTGATCTCAACACCCCCAAAAATGAAGAATCTAGACAATAGCAGCTCAAGAACGAGATATTACCTTCAAAGAATTCCCCAACAACAATGAAACTCGAATCCAAGCAAAACCCTTTGATCCAAGCCTTTTCTCCTTCAAGATTTCTTCAACTAGCACTTCTCCAAGCTCCAATTGGCCCAAAAATGGTGTTCCTCCACGAAATTAGGGTTTATGGGGCTCAAGGGGAATCAAAGAGGCTGGGGAGGAAACATAATGTTCTTTATATAGAGCTCAACCCCGAGAATTAGGGTTTTCTCCACTCAGCACCTACTCGCCGAGTCCATCTTTGGACTCGCCGAGTAGGCGACTTGACACGCGACCAAAGTCGCGACCCTACTCGCCGAGTCCATCCATGGACTCGCCGAGTTGCCCTCCAAAACTTACACTTTTAACCCTTCAACTCTACTCTTGATATTCCGGGATGTTACAACCGGGCCTTCAATCCACCTGGTCCACTCTTTGAGTCTACAGGATGACTAATCCGCCCGCACCGGGCCTTCAATCGGTCTGGTCCACTCTCCGAGCCTCGGCACGTCTGGTCCGCCCTCTTGGGGCCTGTAGCCTATCCGGACCGCTCGCTGGGCCTTCGGGACAACCGGTTCGCCCTGGGTATGTTGGCCTACAACACAAAGCAGGACCAGCCTCAACCTAACCCCAGTCCAACAACCATGTGCAGATAACATTCAAGCGTATAACAATTTACATTCAATCATCTGATCTAATGGATCACATAGCATAACATCCTCGTAACCAGGATACCGATCCTACCGGTCACTAGCATAATACCATCCTAATTACCTGGATACAAAAATAGCAAAGCAATAACATAACAACGATACCCGGATCTCAGTCCGATAAAAGGGTTGGCCTTGGTGCCTTAGACCCTGTTGATATAGTGAGGATAACTCACCTTGCCACTGCCGAAACTCTGAACTGAAGAAGCAGATTCCCGAATGACCGACTCACCGAAAATCCCGAACTAGACAACATTGCAAAATAATCATTAGGCTAAGCACAATACCCTTTCAAGGGTAAATTGACCAATTTACCCTTAACTTAATCCGGCCCATGACTAAGGCCCACAATCAAATTATGAAAGGCCCATCACTAGATAAGCTCTCAAACCCACTAATGGCCCAAAGACCAAAAGTCCGAAGCAAAGCCCAATATTGGCCCAATTTACTAAATTAGGCCCAACCCACCAAATGGGCCTAGATCCAAGGTCCATAATAATTAGTGAGTCCACAATACTCCTTCCATTATGTCCAGTCACGGCCCAAAATCCAATAGCCCAATATCTAAGGCCCAAAATGAAAACTCAACAGAGGGAGTACGCTGGGCGTACCCTCTCTGGTACGCTGGGCGTACAACGTTGATTCGCAAATGGGGATCGGGGGCACTGACTCGCTATGCGGGGCGTAACCTCGCTGCTCAACAAGTCCACATAACTTCTTAATGACTTAAGCTCTTAAGCCCAAACTTCAGATCCTTAGTCCAAATATGCCTAGGATTCATAAAGTCTCAAACTTTATTACTTGGGACGTCCATAAAGCTCTTAATCCATTAAGACCTAATCATCTCACACATGGAACAACCACAACCCTTGGGACCTCATTTTTCTCACTCAAGACCTCTCCTAAGGTCTGAAAGGACAGATAATCTCGACCAACTCGAAACATGCATCAAGATGAGGACTTTTGGAATAAGAATGGTGTCAATAGCTCACAACACATAGATCTATTCAATATAAATGTCAAGAAAGAAGCTTTATACCTCAGATAGGCTCCAAAGGATGATGTCTTTCCAGATCTATAAGCTCCAGCCACTCAAATCCTTCTTTGACGACTTCCCCTTTCTTCTTCTAGCATCTATTTTGCCAAAACAAGCTTTCCAAGGCCAAACACACCCAACAATGGATGTAAGACGGATATCCAGGGTTTCTGAGGGTAAGAGAGAGTCTATGGAGGCTGAGGAGGAAACCATTATGATCCTTATATAGTGGTTGCCCTTAAAATTAGGGTTTTGGGATTCTGAGAGTACGCTGGGCGTACTCGACCTTGCACCCGTGTCCATTTACCCATTACGCTGGGCGTAACCCAGTCTACGTTGGGCGTACCCACGCGTGTGCCTCATGCATGCATGGCTTACATTGCCAACCTTTTCCATTAAGGGCCATAAATGCCAAAATCTTCCAAGTGTCATAACTCCCTCATTCTAGCTCCGTTTTCGATGAACTTTATATCCACGAAGAGGTGGCGAGAAGCCCTACGCTTCTAGATACATAACCTGGTCCGAAACCTTCTCGGATGAAACCCATTTCCCATAAAAGGACCAAAATACCCTTCCTCTTAAGTCTTAGGGACTCATAAATAAGTACTTTAAGAACGTGACGTTACAATATATATATATATATATATATATATATATATATATATATATATATATATATATATGTGTATATATATATATATATATATAGGCCTAGGTTATTCTATTAAAACTAATTATTGTGTTATTGTATGCATAAATGTGAGTCGATCATTTTACTTATTTTAATACAGTGATTAATATATATTATTGAATTAAAAATAATTGAAAAATACTATCCGGTTTAACTAGAAGGGTATTTTAGTCAATTAATACATATTTAATAAAGGAAATTTGCATATTTTAAGGGATCATAGATTCTATTAATTTTAAAAATCCGATTTTTACAAATTATAAGGTTTTTAATTTGGACATTCTGACATAATATGTTTGACTATGTTAAAAAATAATAATATTCTAAAATAATAATATTCTAAAATAATAAATTTTTTCTTGATCATTACTTTAAAAATTTCTTGAAGAATAACAAATTTTCGAACCAACAATTGAATAATTAAAACAAAAGTTGCATTAATTCTTATAGAATACGTGTAACAATTGTTAAGAATTACATTTATTTTTAAATAATTAAACTAAAAAACTTTCAAATCGGGAAAAAAAAACATCAAAATCTAACAAATACACTAATTCATTCTAAAAGAATAATGTTGCTAAGAGGCGTCTTTCAAATTTCATGGTCCGTTCTTCAAACATCAGCTTCTGTAGAAACAAGTCCAATGAACAAATTAGTGAGAAAATATCTATATTACATTCCAACATAATTGGAATTCGTGATTCCATTCTGATGGAATTGGAATTCCGACCCAACCAAAAGTAACCATTTGAAGTGCCCAGAATCCCAATCACGATTCCATTGCCCTGAACATCACACTTCCAAACACATGCTTGATTCTGATTACAGGTATGAGTTACGAGTTCAAAACCTTTTCAATTTCTTGCCTGATCCCCTTCACAATTGTGACCAACGTTCTTATACTGAAAGATTCTTCCAGTTAAAACGAGTTCCAAACAAGCCATCACAATCCCTATTGCTATGGTTTCATCTTTCATTCCAAACGATTTCATAACTTTCGTTTCCATACCCATACTCGAAATTGATTTTGAAATGGAATTTTGATTTCTGTTCCGATTGAAAGCACTTCGAGTTTAGAGATACCAACAATTCGATTTCAAAAACTCGTTTCACAAATGTTAACAAAACAACTAGTGATTTAAATTGACCATTCGGAACCCAGCACATCATAAAGACCAAATCCCACTTCTTTAAATTGATTTCAAGATCAAACAGCTCATCAGTTGAGTTCATTACCACAATTATAAGGATCGATTCCAGAACAGATGAGCAAAATATATAACAATCATGGATAAGAATCGTCGATTTCTGTTCACAAATACTAAGAACACGATAAAGAAACGAAACAATCACCGATGAACAGAACAGTGAAACGGGAATCGATGATTTACCATCATCGACAAGCCATAATCTCATAGAGATTGTCGATTGTTAGATTTGACAAATATGAATTTGAGCACGAAACAAGACGATATTGGAAACTCAATTAAAATATTAGGGCCAAAGAAAAGAAACCTGGATTATCATCAAACACATGCCTAATGAACAATGACAGACTGAACTTTTGGGCTAAAACAAAAGAAAATATGATCGGATCCAATGGCTTAAAGCAAAGGATTAAAATTAATTGATTTGGAATTAAGCAAATGATCTGATCTAATATGAATACAAAAACGAATCAAATAAAAGAAATACCATATGAACAGTAACATAATTCTCCATGAACAGTGATGAACAATACCATAGAAGAGAAGAGGGAAGAGGCAGACGTGAGGATACTAGAAATTGGGTTTTAAACTGATATTCCTAAATTAAAGGGATGTTAATTGATTTATATATTTACCATAATTAATTAGATGTATGATTACATATTTACCCTTTTGAAATGTTTGGCCCACATTTATGCATACAATAACACAATACTTACTTTAAACAAATGAACCAAGCGCTCTCTCTCTCTCTCTCTCTCTCTATATATATATATATATATATATATATATATATATATATATATATATATATATATATATATATATGAGCCCATTTGTTATGATTTGCATAGGGCCTTCAAAATCAATAGACGAGCCCTGATAAGTACCAAGCGAACCCAACATAAAATTCAAAAGAGTAAAAACGACCACAAATAGACATCATCTTGACTTTCCAATAGGAAAACTTCTTCACAAATGTATAAGTGATACACTTCTAACATGTAACTCTAGACACAACAGCTCCAACTAGAATACCTAGATAAACAAAAGGCAAATTTGCATCTTTACATCTGTTCTTCAACGCTTCCACAAATAAAACTCCAGTACCATAAATATTTAATTTATGTAGATTGATTTGTAGCCCTAAAACCGTATAAAAACAATGCAAAATATGAAGACTTCCGAAATTTGTAGGACTACCATTAATAAATAATGAATATCTAGTTGAATCTAAACAAACTTGTATCCACTTCGACCATCGGTGGGAGAAACCCATAAATTCCATAATCCATTGCAAATACTCCTAAGACAATGAACCATATGCTTGTTCAAATTTAAAAATCATAATTTTCTTCCTTTTCCTGTGTTATACCTGTCTACTATCTCATTAACCATCAAATACCCATCAAAAACTGTCTGTTTTTAATGAAAGCATATTGCTTGACACCAACTGCCGAACAGGGGCGAGTTTATGTATACCCAAGGTGGGTCGCATGAACCACCTAACTTTATAATAATATTATAAATTATATATCAAAATATTTAGGAAATGTCTTTAAATTTTTAAATGACCTACCTTAGAAAAAAATGAGAGAGAAGAAGAGATTCTGGGTTGGGAAAAGAAAGAAAGAAGTCAATATTAGATTGTGAAGTAGTGAAATGGCCAGAGACAAACTATAAAAGATGCATGGTTAGGTTAGATTAAGAAAGAGGGCAGTTAGATTCAATTTATTTGGAAATAATGGGCTTTTGTTCCCTAGTCCATTTTGTTTATTGGATATATCATCCACAATTTCCATATCGTAATTTTGTATCCATTTTGTTAATTTCTTTTTATTTTTGTTTTACTTTTAAACATATTTCCGTCTCATTTTTTCTTTAAAAAATGAAAATGCTTTACTCACACCTAGATGGTCAATTTCATTTACCATTAAAAGAAACTTATATATATATATATATAAAAGAAAAAGTGAATATGTGGCTGTCATATATGTAATATTAGGTATAGAACCATCAAAATTGATTTCATTTTAATTAAAAAACATAATTTTTTTTCTTTGTTAGTTATTTCCTATTGCTTTTGAGTTTATATTATTCCTGACTTCATAATTTATCTCCAACATCTATGTATTTCGAATGTGTTGTTTTTATTAGACTTCTAGTAGGCTTTATAACTTTCTTTGACACTTACCATACTTGCATGGTTCTTTTTGATGTGTTATGGGAAGAAGTTTATTGAGATTTTAGTGAACAATTTTAATCTTTCACTATAATTTTCTAAATTAAATTTGAATATGAAGATTTAATTATAGGTAGTTGATAATGTATTTTTATATATGGTTTATGGTCCAAAATAAAATAATTAAAACTCCATAAAAATATGTACAAAGCCTATCATCTACTCTAATAGTGAATATAAGAAAGATGGTAGAGAGATTTTATTGCATTTTGTTAAAACTATGTAGTTATTGGTGGTTCTATACCTAATATTAGGTACATAACAGCCACATATTCCCTAAGCCCATATATATATATATATATATATATATATATATATATATATATATATATATATATATATATATATATATATATATATATATATATATATATATATAGGTGTAAGTTCATTTGAGACCATTCTAATTTTGTGAGACCGTGAGACCAAATCTAAAAATAATTTTAAAATGCAAAATAAATGGAAAAATCCAAAAATTCTTTTTTTAAATATTATTTTCGGAACTTGAATTAACTAAAAAAAATATAAAAAAAATAAAAAAAATTCCGTTTTTTTTTTTTGAAAAAATACGTGAAATATTCTAAATAGAATATTACACTGACATATTCTAAAAAATAATTTTAAAATGCAAAATAAATGGAAAAATCTAAAAATTCTTTTTTTAAATATTATTTTCAGAACTTGAATTAACTAAAAAAAATTAAAAAAAAATAAAAAAATTCTATTATTTTTGAAAAATACGTGAAATGTTCTAAATAGAATATTACACTGTACATATTCTAAAAATAATTTTAAAATGAAAAATAAATGGAAAAATCAAAAAATTCTCTTTTTAAATATTATTTTCGGAACATGAATTAATTAAAAAAAAATAAAAAAAAAATCAAAAAATACGTCTCACGGTCTCAGAAAATATAGGTGGTCTCAAATGAACCTATATCTATATATATATATATATATATATATATATATATATATATATATATATATATATATATATATATATATATTGAAGTAGATGTTTATAAATAAGTATTATCTATTTGTAAAACATGACAAGTGATACGTATATGTTTATTTTTTAAATATGTATACGTAATTAAATATATATATATATATATATATATATATATATATATATATATATATATATATATATATATATATATATATATATATATATAATGTATGAATAATTTAACAAATCGGTTTTATTCTAAACTGAAGTTGATCTTGGTAAAAAAAAAAATTAAAATTGATTTTAGTAAAAAAAAAAAAAAAAGTTAAGGAATAATCGTTTTGAACTTGGTCATCTCAACACCAATTTTTATATATGTTGAATCTAATATTTTCTGGTTGAACTCGATTTTTTTTAAACTAAACATATCAGTGAACCATATGATTTTCTATTCTAGACTCGTCACTGCTGCCGAATCCACTGCCTTTGACAATTGAAGAGTAAGAATTTTAAAACAATTTTATATTGGATATCAATAAGAGAAATAAGTTGGAATTCTTTAATATATACAAGGTTTGACACCTTTGGAATAAGCATAATGAAAGATGAGTTACATCCATGCGGAATATAAGACTTCCGAAAAACTAATCAACAAAGTCAAAAACATCATATATCGAATCAAATCTCAATACCTCTTCACAAACTGAAAATAAAATTCATCAGAAGTTTTGTCACTCCCACAAGCCCATATAATCTCTTTAACATCTTACAAAGTTGGTTGTAAATAATCTCTTTAACATCTTACAAAGTTGGTTGTAAATTTAGATCTCAAGCCTTTTGAACCTAGGACTTTTATTTTGAATTCGACACCCGTGAAAATATTCAAACTTTTTTTTTTTTAATAAAACTCCAAAAATTCGTTTTTAACCTGTTGGGGGAGTATTAATCCATACTCCATTCACTGTAACACCTTTTATATTCATTTGTCATTCTTTTCTTTTTTAGTATATCATAAAATTATTTTGAATTTTCATTACCTTGTATTACCCATTTAATTTTCGATTTTTGGCAACATCAGAAGCTCATCTATCTCAATGTCATCCAACCGCCTCAACAAACTTCTTCTTTCTTCAGCTATGGAATTAGAACCAATACCGTCATCAACCAAAACATGCATCAAGTTCCATGAATCTTTTTTGAATCCCATTCTTCTCCACGTGCGTCTTTTCTCTATATTCTAAATTTCAACTTTTAATTTTTCCCTTTAAGTTATTTAACTTATCTTTAAAAATAAATAAATAAATAAATAAATAAATAAATAAATAAAAAAGAAACTTATTGTTAAAACTACCACTGTATAAAGTAGGCCACAAATCACACACCAAAGCATCAAAACCATCCAATGCCAAAAAGCAAAGTGCTTAAATGCATACGAACCATAATCCAAAAACTCGTTTTTAAAAAGAATTGGCATGTGTTCGGAGATATACCTTTCCATTTTTTTTTGGGTTACATCAACTTTTTGTTAAACTTCATTTATAAAAAAAAAACTATTATTATATTTTAATAGATTAAAAAACAAAGTTTATGTTATATTTGGTATCTCAATTTTTTTTGTCAATTAGTAGCTTACTATATAAATTTCTATAAAGTACGTTCAAATCGATTTTATATATTTCGTTAAATAGTTAAATAATAAAAGAAGTAATATCTAAATGCATTATAAAATAAAGTAAAATGTTATGAAATATAAATGTAACATCCTGTTTTGAGTCGCTTCTTAATTCGGAGTCATTGATCCGAAGATCAGTTGCTATAAGGCTTCGGGTCTTGGGGAAAGAGAGGTTTAGACACATTTGGATGTGGGTAATGTAAATTGTGTGATCCAATAGTTTGATTTATGCTTTGGAGCACAAGGATATTGGTAAAGTAATGGTTCAAACCTTTTATTCAGGTTAAGGATTTTAGTTCATGTGTTTTAAGTCAAAAGTAAATAGATAGAGTTGTA